ACATTTGTAGAGCACCTCACAATTAAAACCTCCTATCGGCGGGAAAGATGCAGATCGTAATTTTGGTTTGCCATAAAAAAAAACAAAAGATATTTTCATTTTCATACATTTTTCTTCTATGTGAACTAAGAAACCCCCGCAAAAATGGTGAAATGTGAAATTACTGCAAGTTTGAAAAAAAGAACGAGTTCTTTGGGTGAAAAAAATCACTTTGACTTGATAAAAAAGTTGTCTAAAATTTTTTTTGTATGAATTTTCTTAATTTATATAGAAGAAAAATGTATGAAAATGAAAATATCTTGGCTTTTTTGTGTCAAACCAAAATTACGACTTGCATCTTTCCCGCCGATAGGAGGTTTTAATTGTGAGGTGCTCTACAAATGTGCGTCACAGTCGACTCAATTCGAATATTTCTTGTTGAAAAGATTTGTACGGACTACTCAAATATGTATGAAAATAGGATAAAAAGTTCGATAGAATTAATAATTTTTTTCTATCCTAAAAAAATTCACGAGAAACCGCTTTTTCTGGACCTTCTAATTCAGGATACCCCCTTAATCTTGCACTGTCCAAAATACGGCATACAAAGACAGAAATATATACTGGAACCTCTCGTCGAGGACAGCTTAGATGAAAGCCACGATTACGTGAAGTTTATAAAAAAAGCTAAATTAATTAACAGGATACTGTAAAGTACCGCACTTCAAGGCGTTGCTAATAACAAGAATATAAAAAAGATTGAAAGTAAAGTTCATGTTATAATATTTGCAGAATAAAATAAATTCCTATTTAGGTTCAATTTTTGTAGGAACATTTGCGAAGATTTTATTTTGCATAAAGATTCGCAGTCTAATAATAAGTATTCGTACAGGAACCATTTATTTTAAATTGGTTGCTGTACGATTACTTCTTACACTGACAATATATATACGTATATTTTGTTCATTTAAAAATGTATTAAAAGAAGTATGTCTTATATACCAAAAGATCTAACATGCGTATTAATTTGTATATTTTATATATCATTGCATTTGCATACATTCTTATAGATTTCCCTATATTTTCACCACAAATGCATAAACATCCACAGTCTACTCACGATTTTTCCCAATATTTTACCCCCTACCGAAACCTAGCCTTCTTCTGTTCAATCTTTACCATTACGAGCCACTTATTCTCACGTATCTTCTAAAAATCCTATCTTCGATAAAGCCACGATGCTGCACCCTCAACGACGAACCAAAAAAATCATGAAAAAAGCTTCGTTCGCGTAATCATAACCGCGGCGTCAGAACAGCAGCAACGCCAGCGCGATTTCATGAGGCAGACGGATACGTTTCCACGATCGAGTACCGCGTTTACACAAGCGGAATTAATGAGACAGGAATCGCGCGTTGGCCAGGCGAATCAGTGTAAACGGAACAAACCGTTCAGGGGCGTCGATTACCGATCGCCTCTCCGATTGGGGCGCATCGATAAGCGCGAAGAATAAATTCAGAATTCGCAGTTAATCCGAGCTGGTCCGCGAATTCTCGATCGATCTCACTAATTAAATCCCGGACGGAACACTCACCGGGTGTCCCGTGATCGGCATGGAAAGGTAATCCGCGATATCGATCCCTGATCACCGCGATAAGACCTGCACCAACGACTCCCCGTCGCGCTCCGACTCCCCGTTCGCGGATGAACTTAATTTCGCGACTGGGGCGAGGTCTTTAGACGACTTCCGCTCGTTTTCTTCGGGGAAGGAAGGTTCCCTTTGACTGTTTACGCAGTATAATTAACGCTGTGCGCTGCGAAGACGGAGTGGATTCTACGCGGATGATTTAACAAGGTAAACGAGATTGCACCAGGGAGACCCTTCGTTTTGGAGAAAGACGCATTTTTGGGGGAGGACGTCGATGGTTACGCGTTCTCAAGCACGAAATTTCGCTGGTAACCCGAAGAATGTTACGAAGAAGAAGTAGATATCTTGGTGGTGTTACGTTAACTTTCATTGGTAAGAAAAACTGTAGATGAAAGATCCGTGGCAACGCTGGAAAGATGGGAGATTAGAATATTGACGCTTTGCACTGGGAAGACCCTTCGTTTTAGAGGAAAACGAATTTTTTGGGGGGAAGACGTCGATGGTAACGCTTTCTCGAGCACCAGATTTCGCTGGTAGCCCGAAGAATGTTATAAAGAAGAAGTAGATATCTATGTGGTGTTACGTTAAGCTTCATTGGTAAGAAAAACTGTAGAAGAAAGATCCTTGGCAACGCTCGAAAGATGGGAGATTAGAATATCAACGCTTTGCAGTAAGAGATGACTCCCACTCACATCTTAACAATTTATCTATCGGCCTATTTAGAGACAGTGTTTAATACAAAAAAGAATTTTCTAAAACACCATATGCCTATCTAGGCTGACAATAATTCCTTCAATTAACACTTGTACGAATACTTATTGCTTCTGTATTTCTATCGATTTATTGTTTTTTCTTGTTGATTTCTCACTTATACAAAATATCTAATCTTTTCGTACTGTATCTATTTTAGAGATTTCCAAGAATATGTAGAATATCATTGTTTGTAAAATAAAAAGTTAATAAATTACAAATTTCACATAGTTTTTTTGGAAATTGATCGGTGTACGAATACTTTCTACATCCACTGTATCTTGGTGGTGTTACAAGAAGCTTCATTGGTAAGAAAAACTGCAGTAGAAAGATTGTTGGCAAGGCTCAAAAGTTGGGAAATTAGAATACCAACCCCTTAATGCTGGTAGTTCAAAGTACTATTCGAGGATATTCAAAGAATAATACTGGCATGTCTTAACACTTTATCTACCGGGCTCTTTAGGAGCAGTCTTTAATTAAAAAAAGAATTTTCTACGGAAGCATATGCCAATCTAGGCTGACAATAATTCCTCCATACTGTTACTGGGTACATTGAAAGCAAAGTCTGGTTCCAAACACTGAACATTGTAAATAGACAACCATCGACTATAAATAGTAGTAAGTAGTAGTAAGTAGTAAGTAGTAACTCGAGAGGTTACTCTCTGTCACCATCAAGTTTCACGGAATAGATTAAAAAGCAGTAATATTTGTTTCAGTTTCATTTCTTCAGAACTCGAAGTTTCGCCCGAAATAAAATGATTGTCGGTGATGTAAAGGTTCACCTGATTCTCAAATCTCAAATTAGTTTGCGTTCACAAATCGGACTACATTTTTAAAGTCAATCTAAGCTTAGCATCCGTGGCAATAAAATGCTAAAAAAACATCTCGAGTTGCTGGTAGACACCAAAGAAAAAGACTTTGAGTTCTATGGGCGCATGTAGGTTGATCTCTTCGATTCCCTATGAGTGAATCTTCAAGTATGAATGTTCATGCCTTGTTCGCGCGAAAAATGTTTCCAATAAAACAGTTAATGTTCCCCGTCCACGCGAGTAGCTTCAACCAGGAATATTCAGCGCTCAAAGGGTTAATTTCACGGTAGGGTAAACATTTTTCGTCAAAAATATGCAGATTCACCTTGGTCCAACGTCTGGCCAGCCGTTTTGGGAACGTTACTAGCGCATCAACGCCTCCGACCCTCGTTAAGGGGAGAGATGTCGAGCTGTAATTGATTCCTCCTGGTTTACGTGTCTGGGAAACGGTAACGCGATCGTAATAATTGTTATCGTGGAATTAATTGAGGTCTCGCCTCGCGAGTACCGGGACTTTGACGGAGAAAGTGGTGTTATTAGATGTCCGTATTAGGTCCTCGTGGCGTTCGTGAGAATTTGTTATATATCGTTCGTTCTGAAAATAGGTCTACGTACTCTTGACTCGCGGAGGAAAAGGTAATCAGAATGCCGGGTCGAGAGACAATGGCTTGCATCACTAATATTTCGCGGTACTTTCCTTTCTCGAAGCGCAACTCCGCGCAATTTCAGCCCATCCAGCGTTGGAGGGAATAAAACTTATCCGAAAAACCCAACGCGACGATCCGTGGTCATTTTTTTTAGTTTGGAATTGATTACGCGATCCCCTCTGGATTAAATTTGCGATAATACGTGGGGTTGCAAAGAATTTTAACGCTCCCATTACTACATGAATATATATCGATATTAATCAGAACGATTCTGATACATACAATAAAGATTGAATAAGACTAATGTTATAGAAATAAAAAATATTGAATTGAATTAAATCGCTCTGTTCTAGAATGTTGTTGACAATTTGTTTATGTTATATCATTATTAAAAAAAAAATCCAATCTTGTTCAATCAGAACAAAGGTGTAAATTTAGCAGTGCTCTAATATCATTATCACATTGGAGAACGTTTCGAACAGAACACGTGTTCTCCACTAATGCATATTCAAACTTCAAGTTCACCAGGGACATACTACTATACTTACTCCATATTACTGTCATTGCGAAATGAAAAATACCACAGAATTCAGGGCGTGGAGTAGTAGTCACAAATGAACACTGTCTTCGTTAAAGTCCTCCAAAGTACTGGTACTTCTACCTCTCATCTCAACACCTTAAATACTACTTAGAAAGTCTACTTAGATTGAGCACCAACTCAGGAGATTTTCATTATTAGTACACTTTGACATTAACTTTTGCATACCCATTATGTGTACCAAAACTCGCATCTCTTTCCTTAGATCGAAGTAATTAGACTACCTCAGTCAACAACACGATCGATAGATATCAACCAGAGATGGGCAAAACCGTAGGCTTCGAATAAATCTAAAGTTTGCCGATGTGTTTGTCTGGTTTTTTTCTCTGGAAAATGTTCAAAAGAGGAAATGATACAAACATATCGACAAACTTCAGATGTATCACTGATCTCAACAAGCAGACGACTCCGAAGTATCCTGTGAGTAGGTCCCAGTAGATAAAACATTGTAAAATGCGTAAATGTTTAAAGTGCGTGTAAGACTGAAAACGACCCCGCTGTAGATGGCACATGTGACACTGACACCGAGTACCTCGAAGAAACAGTTCTCGTAAAGGTTACCTACTCACCAACGAGCGACAAAAGGAAGGCGACGCAGCCCAGGACGCAGTAGCTGTCGAGCCAGCGCATGGTCCTCCTCTTCCTGTCCCTTTATCCGTTCCTTCCTGCCAAAGTTGGCTGAACCTAAATGCAGCTGAGGCTAGGTACTCCCTGTACGTCGCGCCAGCCTCATCCTCGACGCCAGGACGTCGTTGGAGAACGGTGACGAACCGAGTAGACACGGAACACACAAGCTGCGACAGACAGCGGCGATGGTAACCGGTCCTCGGATCGTGAAAGACTGAGGAAAGGCGCGTTTGTTCGGTCGTTGGTCCGCTCGCCGATGTTGAGCATCGGCTTATGCCCACCTCTTGTTCACTTACTCCCTGCCATTCCAATCATTGCCGCTCTCCCTTCGCGAGTATGGTTTTTTTTCCCTTCGCGGAGAATCCTCTTTCCAGTGGAAAGCTGCCCGGGACAGATCGACCTTCTAGTTCACGGTAACGATCGTATCGCCGAGGCGTTGTTGATACTCTCAACTCGCGATCCAAGGTGTTTCGACTCGGACGTTTGAAGGATAACGCTGGGGTTCGATATATTAGCTCATCGCGTAAGCGATATTGTTTTCTGACGCTGACTTTCTGATGCGGGAAAATATTATTTCCGTTCTTAGATTTAACCCTTTCGGTTCCTCAAGCGAGACTCGACGGAAATGTACTGACATCAGAGAATTCGGTCTGTAGAGGGTTAAGAGGAGGGTCATCCCGTGTGACGACCTGACGACCGTTCTTTTTAAGGTTTTATCGGAATTTTTTATAGCGAAATGAAAAAAGACAGAACTTCGAAATTTTTATTATATATTTATTCAGCCTTTAACTGTAACATTGGATTTTTTTAAGTAAATATATAATGTGGATCACGAGATTTATCGCTCGTATGGCACCCATGTAAAAAAAAAGGTTAGGTGAACGGCGTCCATGATTCTGGCAAACTGGCTAATCTGAAATAAAAAATACAAATTGCATGTTAATCTGTAGGTGGATGGCTATCGTTCGAACTAGGGTTTTTGAAAAATATTGAACCGGTTTTTTTTTTCCTAAAAAAGTAGTCGCATACCGCCGAAAAATCTCGTGATCCACATTATATTAAGTAGACAGGAAAGTAATTTCGTTTCTTTTACATTAAATTCAAACAAATTTTTAATAAATTTCTATTTTTAATCAGTTATGTATTCGGCTTCGTTATCAACAACCTTTTACCATTTAGTGTGCAAATTTGCAACACCATATCGATAAAAATCAACGAGCTGACGTGTGATAAACAAGTATTTAAAATTGTAAAAACGACATTACTTTCCAGTACACCTAATATTTGTGCTTAAAAAAATTGAAAGTTACAGTTAAAGACTGAATAAATATATAGTAAAATTTTAAAAACTCATTTCGCTATAAAAAATTCCAAAAAGACCATAAAAAAACGGCCGTCACACGGGATGACCCTCTCAAGGCTTTCGCGATTATATTATTATTCCTTGTAGTGGTTTCCAGAAGACTGTCGCGTATGATTTTAGTTTGTTGTCGAGTGTTTACATTTGTTTTTAATCTTGAACATATGGATCGTCGTTTTCCATGAGCTTTTCTCATCTTTTAGTTGGATTTTTGATACGATTTTCGTGAAATCTTTAAGGTTTCGAATTAAAAAACAGCGCCAATTCGATGCGTTCGTTGTTTCGACTGTACAACTGTTCTCCAATTGAAAAATATTGCAATCTAAATAAGTGATCTTGGTGCAAGGTCTATAGAGTAAAAGTTCCAATTACGCTTTCTCAAATTTAAAACTTGTGACGTTAATTATAGTCGCAATTCGCCACGACTTTCTTATTTAGCATTCCCTGCTGTAGCCACGCGGTCTGGTCGACCATGTACACGAAATCTCTGTGAGAAACTGTTGGGGCTTTTTGTGTGCTGTTTCTTGATTAATGAAGATAGTCGATACACTTTCTAGCATTTCAGACGCTGATTTGCTACTTATTCCATAACGGATGACCCAGACCTTTGCACTCTACTGTCAAATAGAAAACGACATTTTTTATGTTAGACTTTGTTAGACCTCGTTGTTGACACAAATTACATTATATATTAACCCTTTGTCCTACGACTTACTGCAGGATTGTGCCTGCCATAATCAAGTATAAAATTCCTTGCGCCCTTTCATACAACGTGCCTGGCTCGTGTTTTTCATCATCGACTCATATTCTGTACCACGAGTCTCACACGTTGTTATATTGGGTTGTCCTAAAAGTTTCTTTCGTTTTATTAGTAAGTTATACATGCACAACATTTTATATTTTATATTACGTTACTGATTGTGAGTTGTATACCATCTATTTTGCTCGATTACTCTTGCAACGTCAACTTCTAAGAGATAAGGTTGTCTATTTAAACAAACACTACCACGCAAGACAACAAGTCCCGAAAGAAATTTTTGAGGCAATCTAATAGATTAAAGGGTTAATTATAATATCCTCGAGTTCTCATATACTTTATCGCCATCAAAAACAGTGACAAAACAGTATGATTTACAAGAAAAAGAAGACGCTACTGCAATTTCAATACCAGAATTGAAATCAATACGATTGTTTACTTCGAATTAAATGTTTCATACGGTCCACCATACTGCTATAACTAGACTGCGGATTTTTATTCATTTATAGGAAATTTGAATCCGGAAGAAGCTACAAATAAAAAGATATTAAAAGTAAAATTCATATTATAATATTTTCAGAGTAAAATAAATTCCTACTTAGGTTAAATTTGTCTAGGTACGTTTACAAAGATTTCAACTATAACATAGTATTTTCCACGCGCCACAGAAACATTCGTAGACAATTGATCGTGTCTGCAGCTGACTGTCGATCCCCCAAGCGTATTTAAAGTCTTTACATCGCGGTGGTCGGTACGTTGACAAGTTTCAGCAGGCATCTCAGATATGTCGATACATGAAATTCGGCGAACCCTCGATTCAACTAGACCACTGTCACTGGACCGTGAACGAGGCAAAGAATTCAATAAAACGTCATGTTCGCAGAGTCCATCGCGGCGTCAGAGACGATCGGATAGGCGCGCTGAAAACCTGCTGGCAGTTCAAATGAAAATAAACGAATCACCGTATAACCCTGCCCCTCAGTAATTTACACACACCGTTAACTAGACGAATGATCTAACACTTGCATCACAGAATATCCTGATTGATATTCGAGGCACTCGAGGCGAACGTTGCGAAACCTAAATATCTTTAATCGTGTCATGCGGTGAACTGACTTTTAAAAAGTATGAATGACAACATGCAATATCTTTGTAACTTAATCGGGATTGCTTGGCTTTCGGAGATTTTACTTTACAAATGGGATTGTTTAATTTGTCGATGCTTTAAGTCAAATTACTTTGCGGTTACTCTGAGTTTGGTATTGCCTTGACATTCATAAGAAAAAAGAGTAAAAGTTGCACGATTCGAGGCTTGAATATAACAGAGCTGCTTTAAATCCGTTTCTTGGTTTTTCCTTGGACTTCATGCGCCTGTGTCACTCGTCGACCTTTCCTTGGGTTTTCGACGTTCAAACTCGCGAAGGAATCGAGTTGTTGATTTAATCCCGAATCGAGTGTGCCCGTTTAATAATTTCAGGAATAACTTAACGAACGATAACAAGGAATTCGTGGCTCTGCGCCTTGTCACGTTAGACGTTATGACAATCCAACGTTAATGATACAGTTCTGTTTTCGTTAACTCGTTAATTGACTTTCAAATGTTTGTAATTCGTACATCAACGCTGTTTTCTCCTTTGCAATTTCAGAAATTGAAATCGATCATTCTGCAACCATCTGAAAGACAAAACAACGAGAAGGTGGAGTCAGCCATCACTCAACACTTTGCACATTTACACGGTATTCTTCAAAATGTGGAGAAAAAGATCATCGACTCGTTGCACGAGCAATGCGTATCGAAGGACAACAATATCGACGAGATCGACTCGCAGCTGAAGGATCATGAGGAACGACTACAATCTGCATACGTTGTAAGAACTATTTGTCAATTTCTTTTTTATTTCGTCTGAAATGATATCTTTTATACGGTGCGTGTAGAAAGAATTTCCAAAAAACTATGTAAAATTGTAATTTATTAACTTATTTTTTATAAACAATGACATTCTACATATTCTCGGAAATCTCTAGAATAAATAGATTACCAAAAAAAATAGCTATTTATGTAAGTTGCGAAATTAACAAGAAAAAAACAATTAATCGATAGAAATATTGAAGCAATAAGTATTCGCACAACTGTTTAATTTTCAAAACTTCATTAAAAAGAAAAGAAATTTATATTAATTTACAAGTATATAATACTTCCTTCGTGGGATTTCCTTTTGATTTTATAATTATTGTAACTTTTCTAAGCATTAAATTAACTAAATTATTAGTTATTCGAAGTGGGATCTTTTTCCATTACTCTATTAGAACCTTTTTTAAAAGTACTTTACTGGAAATTTCATGTTTTCTAATTCGTACAGAACAATAAATTAATGTGTTTACGTTACAAACTCTACTGTAAATGGTTCGTCATAAGAATCGTACAAATACTTATTGCTTCTATATTTGTACCTACTTTTCGCATTTTTTGGTTAATTTCACAAATTATAGTAACTAGTAAATGTTGTTTGGACTATATCTATCTTAGAGATTTCCGAGAATATATAAAATATCATTGATTATAAAAAAAGAAGTTAAGAAACTACAATTTTCCCCAAAACTTTGGGGGGAAATTGATCGGTGTACGAATACATTCTACATATACTGTAAGTGGAATTTATTCAGTTTAGCACGGTTACTTTAATCCTTAGTATTTCCAGTTAATTTCACATCTAGAAGGACTCGACTAATGAAATGAATTTCCGCGATTTCTCGTCATAGTGCAGGCCATCGCGTTAAACGTACCGCGAACACACGCAAATTTTTCATTAATGTACGAACATACCACTGCCGAAAGTAATTCAGCTAAAATTAGGTGGCATTGCCAATTTTCCGGTATGTCATAAAACATTTAAAATTTAAAATCTTTCACTGCGAGGTACAACGTGTGCGCGTGACAGGGGAGATACAAATTTTCATAATGAAATTATTATAAACAGCCAACGGTCATCGAAATGAACTGTCACGGCGAGAAAGTATTGCCGTCTGTTCGCGATTAATTTTAATACGTTCTTTGAGCTCTCGAAAGAAAGTTTATTAA